TTTACTGACTTCACTCTTATACTGGTTTTATATTTATGATCTTACTATTTGTGTTTGCAGAGAGTAACACTCCCAATGCACAAGACGCCCACACAATGAAAATTCCGTTCTAGTCATCCAAGTTAAAATAATGATATACCTTCAACCCCTCGTGTTATGCGTGATCCGATCGAAATCACGCAAATAGATTTACAGATATGCTTGTACCTTTATTGATTCTCGTTAGAGTTCTTTCTGACTCATAAGCGTCCAGCTTCAAAGGACAAGGTTCGAACCCGACCCGTACCGTTGTGTCATGTGCTGGAACTGTGTCAGCCCTCCTGTTTGCTGAACTATCAAGGGATTACCTGCTACATAACATATTACGTCCCCTGCCGGACATATATGCCTCAACGTGACATCCGGTAACTTTTCCGTTTAGTAAAATTACCCGGGAACCTCCATGTGGTGTTTACGTTGTCGTTGTTATTACCCTGTCCGGGGCTCAGTATTGTAGGGATAAATCAAGACTGGTCGACTAGTTGTCATGTAATGTGTCTGAGTGGGGTGTATTATGTTAATCTGCGGCGAGGTATCACAGTGAGAGAGCTACCACTATACCCTGGCATAGGTCAGGGCTGGTACAAGCACGCACACACGCACACGCACCTACTCTCCTCACACGAGTGGCGAGGAGAGTGATAAAGTGACGAGGAGAGTGATAAAGTGACAAGGGGTGTGATAAAGTGACGAGAAGAGTGATAAAGTGACGAGGAGTGGGATATAGTGACGAGGAGAGTGATAAAGTGACAAGGAGAGTGATAAAGTGGCAAGGAGAGTGATAAAGTGACGAGGAGTGTGATAAAGTGACGAGGAGTGTGATAAAGAGACGAAGAGAGTGATCAAGTGACGAGGAGTGGGATATAGTGACGAGGAGAGTGATAAATTGACAAGGAGAGTGATAAAGTGGCGAGGAGAGTGATAAATTGACGAGGAGAGTGATAAAGTGACGGGGAGAGTGGTAAAATGACAAGGTGAGTGAGTGAGTTTGGTTTTACGCTGCTTTTAGCAATATTCCAGCAACATCACGGCGGGAACACCAGAAATGGGCTTCACACATTGTATTCCCCAAGTGGGAAATAGAACCCGGGTCTTCCGCGTGACGAGCCAACGCTTTATCCACTAGTCTACCCCACCGCCCAAAAATGACAAGGAGAGTGATAAAGTGACAAGGAGAGTGATAAATTGACGAGGAGAGTGATAAAGTGACAAGGAGAGTGGTAAAGTGATGAGGAGAGTGATAAAGTGACAAGGAAAGTGATAAAGTGACGAGGAGCGTGATAAAGTGACGATAAGAGTGATAAAATGACAAGGAGAGTGATAAAGTGACAAGGGGAGTTATAAAAAGATGAGAGGAGAGTGATAAAGTGACAAGGAGTGATAAAGTGACGAGGAGCCTGATAAAGTGTGGCGAGGAGAGTGATAAAGTGACGAGGAGTGTGATAAATTAACGAGAGGAGTGATACAGCGACGAGGAGATGACAAGGGAAGTGAGAGTGATAAAGTGACAAGGAGGGTGTGATAAAGTGACGACGAGAGGATAAAGGAAGGAGAGTGAGGAGGAGAGTGTGACGAAGTGACGAGGAGAGTGATAAAGTGACAAGGAGAAGTGATAAAGTGATGAAGTGACGAGGAGAGTGATAAAGTGATGATTAAGTGACGAGGAGAGTGATAAAGGAGAGTGATAAAGTGACGAGGATGACGAGTGAGATAAAGTGATAAAGGTGACGAGGATAAAGTGACGAGGAGGTGATAAACGAGTGACGAGGAGGAGTGATAAAGTGACGAGAGGAGTGATAAAAGTGACGGAAGTGAGAGTGATAAAGGAGAGTGATAAAGTGACGAGGAGAGTGATAAAGTGACGAGAGGAGAGTGATAAAGTGACAAGGAGAGTGTGTGATAAAGTGACGAGGAGGAGAGTGATAAAGTGACGAGGAGAGTGATAAAGTGATAAAGTGATAAAGGAGTGAGGATAAGGTGACGAGAGTGATAAAGTGACGACGAGAGTGAGTGATAAAGTGACGAGGGAGAGTGATAAAGTGACGAGAGTGATAAAGTGACGAGGAGTGTGATAAAGTGACGAGGAGATGTGATAAAGTGTGACGAGGTGATAAAGTGACGAGGAGTGTGATAAAGTGACGAGGAGAGTGATAAAGTGACGAGGAGAGTGATAAAGTGACGAGGAGAGTGATAAAGCGACGAGGAGATAAAGTGAAGATGAGTGTGATAAAAGTGACGAGGAGGTGATAAAGTGACGAGGAGAGTGATAAAGTGACGAGGAGAGTGATAAAGTGACGAGGAGAGTGATAAGTGACGAGGTGTGATAAAGTGGCGAGGAGAGTGATAAAGTGACGAAGGGAGTGATAGTGACGAGGAGAGTGATAAGGTGAGGAAGTGAGTGTGATACGATGAGAGTGTGATAAAGTGAGGAGAGTGTGAGTGACGAGTGTGATAAAGTGACGAGGAGAGTGATAAGTGACGAGGAGTGTGATAAGAGTGAGAGTGTGATAAAGTGACGAGGAGAGTGATAAAGTGACGAGGGATAAAGGATAAAGTGACGAGGGAGAGTGATAAAGTGACGAGGAGAGTGATAGAAGTGACGAGGAGAGTGATAAAGTGACGATGGAGAGTGAGGTGACGAGTGTGATAAAGTGACGAGAGAGGTGATAAAGTGATGATAAAGTGACGGAGTGTGATAAAGTGACAAGGAGTGTGATAAAGTGACGAGAGGTGATAAGGTGACGAGAGTATGACAGAAGTGATAAAGTGACGAGGAGAGTGATAAAGTGACAAGTGACGAGGAGAGGAGAGTGTGATACAGTGACGAGGAGTGTGATACAGTGACGAGGAGAGTGATACAGTGACGAGGAGAGTGATACAGTGACGAGGAGAGTGATACAGTGACGAGGAGAGTGATACAGTGACGAGGAGTGTGATACAGTGGCGAGGAGAATGATAAGGTGACGAGTGTGATAAAGTGGCGAGGAGAGTGATAAGGTGACGAGCGTCATAAAGTGACGAGGAGTGTGCCAATAAGTCAGTCAGGAACATAAGCAGTCTTTGGATGACATGTTTATTCAAGTAAGTTATATATATAACAAATACCTATACACGAATTGTCTGAGATTCCAGCATACCTACTGCGGTGAACAGAGAAACATGACACACACATATCTACACGGACAACACAACAAGTCATTACAACAGAAATAACTTTACACAGAAATTCATCAGATATTTAGAGTTACGAATGAATTTTCCCCTTTTTAATATGTTCCTTTGGACATTCTTCATAAAGCTGAGATTCAATACGTTGTGGTTTATATAATCACTAATTTTAACAAAATATATCCTGATGGGTAATCACATTCGTATATTGGCTATTATAAATAAAAACAAGCCTTGAAATATTTCAGCATAACAGACAGCGTCAGAAACAAAATATGTATTCATTCTATAGTCCGTTTGATTTCATTTGAGACCGGTGAATTGCTCACTAACACAAAATCTAATAAATGCAACAAAATCTAACTTCACATGAAATCGACAGACCAACTCTGATGATTTCCCTCATAATTTTGGACACCCGAATAAGAAAAACAATAATTATTTTGTTGTGACTTTTCGCTATTTCTTACGAGGGAGAACCACTTGCTGGATTGTAAACTGCCAAGCAATAGAATGTATACATTGGAAAACTGCATTTCACAAACAAATTCTAACGTTACTATACATAACGTTTCTGGGCTGACAACAGTTGCTAGGTTACTAGGCTGACAACAGTTGCTAGGTTACTAGGCTGACAACAGTTGCTGAAATACTGCCATCTGAGGTCCACAACCCAGCTGTAATAACCATATGAAATATGATACCATCAAAACAATTCCTTGTATGTTACATTTATATGGTACATCAATCATATTATATACTTTCTTCGGCGAGACAGTTTATTACACTCAGTATCACAACACTTGATTGCACAAAGATAATATTAACATATACTGGACAAAAATAGTTAGGGATATATGTACATTTTGAAATTATGAATAATGATCTATTTATTCATTGACACACTGATATAATATCAATCATAAAAATACCAAATTCCCTAACTTATTTTGCCCAGTATATATGTACGTACTACGCTGAAAATAAGGATGTTTGTGTTTATTGAGGGTAATGATTTTATGCTAGATTGATTTCCCTCAATAAGTACGTCATTAAACATGACAGGGCCGTCAATACTTAGTGTTACCCGGATGTTACCAAATTTGAAGCCCATGTGCAATAAATCATGCATAATGCTGCTCGACAGGATATAACAAGTTGGGAAAGGCATAACTGTTTCGAATGTGAATATCACTGTAATCAGAAAGGCACGGTCATTTCATTGTTCCTGAGACTTGGATGAACATTCAGATGAAGTAGAACTCATAGGAAACGTATAAACATAGCTACCTTACCTCATTATTTTGAGCAGATCGATGTTCATGCTGTTGATCACTGGATTGTCTGGTCCTGGCTCGATTATTTACAGACCGCCGCCATATAGCTGGAATATTGCTGAGTGCGGCGTAAAACTAAACTCACTCACTCATTATTTTGGAGAAAGGTATTGAGTGTTTCTGAACATTGAATCAATGTATGGTAACGGTGTTTACTGGCAACAACTTTCTAGTTATATAACGATAGTCTGTAAATATAGACGCCGGGTCAGACGAACCAGTGATTGATAGCATGAGCATGATTTATCAAGCTATTATGAAGAGAAAGGGAAGGGAAATGCTGTTGAACATTGTATATATTTGAATCATTGAGTAGTGGGGATCTTTCTCAAACCCCGTGAAGGACATGCTTGTATGTCTACAATATAACTGAGTATCTATGAAACGTCAGAGCATTGTTGATCTATTCAAAGTGTCCTCCAGATTTCATCAGAAGTACATGTGGCCCATCACGCACTACTTTGTACTGGTGTTGATGTTTCTGACCGGATGTGAGTGAGGCATCCACTGGTTCACAGGCTTTGCTTTCTTCCGGTTCTTGTCTTCATCCACCACTTCCTGGACTACTTGCATAAAGCGAATCTGACCTTCACTCCGGGGCGTGGGGTGCGGGCTGTCGGGGTGTACAGGGTGTGGCCGTTACTGAGAGGCTTCTGAAAGGTAGGAATAACTGGCCATTAGAAACAGACGGACTTTCCGGGTGTATATCACTTCCGCACTGAATATCGGGCGTCGGAGTACTGCATTGCAGCGTCGGGCTCCAAAAACTTACTTTTTATAATATTCGGAATCGCACTGTGGACTGTTTCAATCAAAGATTTTTAAGATCATGGACATGGTTTTGTTGCTTTCATTTATGTGATAAAATGTTGAATCTACCTTACTGCTTGTCTGTCGCATCGGCACCAGGTATATACCATCGTCCATTTCGATGAGCCCAGTTCTTGAATGATAGTACCTCTGGGAATCATGTATGTCGTCATGCGCAGTGGTGCGTCCCCCTGACTTCCGGCAAGAACTGCAACATCCGGCTGAGCTGCTTCCAGCGGGAAATACTTTTGCCGAATTGCTTGAAAGATTAAAAAGTACACAACAGTAAAAAGACTAATACGAACTAAATTAAATACTTTGATCGATGCATATTTTTCTTCCGAATTTTTAAAATTGCTAAAAGCGGCGTAAAACTAAACTCACTCACTCATCTGTGTAACGAGTAGCCAAGTGAACCACGCAATATCAGTCAATTACTTTGATTTTAGAATATGAGTGACGCGGTTGTCGGAAGTGCCGATGATTTGCGAGTCGTGTCCCTTTGATGCCTGGATACGCCAATTCAAATTATGTTTCCAGGTTGGTCAGCATTAACCAACACACGTGCACCCAAGTGGTATCACTAAAGGTTTTGCAATCCCAATAACCATACACACACAGGGGTTCAATTTTTTTTTACAAAGCCACTTGCCACAGGGCAAGTGACTTTAAGAAAGTCACTTGTCCTGACTAATTTTCCACTTGCCCTGATTTTATGACATAATTATGATGATGTAATTCTGAAAGAAGAAATCAACATGGTATTTGATGTTAATGTTTACTGGACTATTTATTGAAAAGTGATAAATAGCAAAGAAAGACAACTCTACTTTATTATCATTGCGAAATTTAATAGCTACATTTTGAGCAGATATGAAATTAAATCAAAGTTTATTTGCAGTTTGAAACCATAAGTGGAAATTATCTAGTAGCCCACGGACAAGTAAGATACCATTATTTGATTGCCCGAAATGAAAACTGACTTGTCCCGGGCGTCGGGCGATGGGATTTTGAACCCTGCACACATGTATTAAAGTTAACAGAAACGTATTAATTATTGTTTCCTGAATTACTTTATTCTGATGAGTACTGTTTACAAGTGTTTATTATAAAGTTGGCATGATACCGAGGCAACTCGTGATAGCACCCAATGACATTACAGAAGGTTGGCGTTATAACGAGGTATCTTACCAGCAGCAGCACCAGATGAGGAAGGCGAGGAGGAGGAGGGCGATGAAGGAGAGGAGAGCAGCCAGGAAGTATTGCCACCAGTCAGCTGAAAAAATGTGTTTAAGAGTTTAGTTTTACACCGCTTTTAGCCATATTCAAGCAATATAACGGCGGTGGGCACCAAAATGGGCTTCACACATTGTACCCTTATGTGGTTTTCGAACCCGGGTCTCCGGCGTGACAAGCGAACGCTTTAAACACATAGATAACCCACCGCCCGCGCCGTTTGGAACATTTTCTCACTTAGATCATGACTTGTTAGCCTAATATTGGAAGAAATCGCAAGATGTCATCAGCTCTTAGGCGTGTGTGGCAGTCAAAAACCAAGAATCTGGGCGATCCACGATCACAGGATTCAGGCACATCTAAGGGACGCAACTCAATAGCACAAGAGCGATTGGCACCTCATTGCTTACCTATTTAAGGTGTCAATATTTTTTTTTTAAATTCTGTTTTATGATATAATCGGGATGTAAGGTAATATATGCTGAAATATTACATATCTTGAAAACATTTATGGATGTCTTAAATTCGATCTATAGGTCTATCCATCAATATCTAAATAGGACCTAAGTAGAATTCGATTATCACGAATACCACTTATTTTAGTTCGTCATAACAGTAGTTCGTTATACGTATTTCGAATAAAATATACAGCAAGTGATCGAGTCCAAATCAAGTTCGTAATATACGTCAGTTCGTTATAAATTAGTGTTCGATGTAAACGGAGTTTGATGTATTCCGAAACCTCGGTGATTCATGCGTTAATATTACAGGCACGCATATATTTTCAAACTACTTTTCCAAGCAGATACGTCATCAATTCACGAACGAAAAAAGATGCAAGACGGGTATAGGTCAAAGCGTTTAAACCAAAAGACCTATCTAGGGGTAAAAAAAGATTTTCGTAGAATGTCGAGAGTAATGAATTCAATTATTACAACACACCACGCTATTGATAATAATGTACACAGACAACAAGCCAGCGTTACCAAAACACAACAGGGCAGGGCACAAAACAAACAACTCGGGGCTCCCTGGGGTTATCTGATTCAGCAGGGTGTAGGATTCAAGGGGTGGGTTAACAGGGAAATCGTGTAGGTAGTCGTGGATAACATGAACACAAAGGGGAGGTTGGTGACGACATGTCGGATGTCAAACTTACACAGTGAGCTCTCTGGAATGGAAATTAGACATGCGGTTAGTTGACTGGTATTGTACAATGAGGTGATCTATGTGAATATATTAACATTACAAAGTGGTGTTTTGCCCACTTGTCTTTAGTGCGGCACGCAGCAACAATCCTGTTATATAACAGAGAGTGTGAACCAGACAATCCAGTGATCAACAGCATGAGCATCGATCTACGCAAATGGGATACGATGACGTGTCAACCAAGTCAGCGAGCCTGACCACCCGATCCAGTTAGTCGCCTTTACGACAAACATGGGTTGGTGAAGACCAATTCTAACCCGGATCACGGATAGATGAATAGGGACCGGCTTTATTAACAAATCGTAACACTACGAGTGTTGTAAGAGTATTGTTTTATACTGCTTAGACATTATCCACTATTTTCAAGGCTATCATTTCCCCACCCTATTATTTTGGAGTCATGCGTTACTTTAGTGTCGCTTTTATCCGAATTTGAAGAGTACGTTTCCGAACATACCATTCCAGTCAAATAACTCTCATGAGTGATACAATCTGAGCGAAGAGCATAATACGAGACAAAGACGTCACTTCCGGTGTGAAACGGTTGCCAGATGGGTCTAACGTACGTAGCGTGAAACAATATGATACCATGGTTACTCGGGGGTGACATATAATGGGCTTCCATACGTTTTACCATGTCGTAAATCGAAATCGGGTCTCTGCCTGGATGTCTTGAGTGAGTAAGGTTTTATGCCGCTTTCAGCAATATTCCAGCAATATCTGGGTGGGGACACAAGAAAGTGGCTGGGGAATCGAACCCGGGTATTCAGCGAAGGCTATAACCACTCGGCTACCCATTGCCCCTTCAAGCGTCTTGAGGTAACGCTACAGTAAGCAATGGTTATAATGAACTAAAAGGGACCACTAATTTTAGTTCGCTATAACCATAGTTCGTTATAACATACAGCAAGTGGCCATGATAAAAACACAGTTGCCTTATACCCGTATTAATGTAATTGATGACATAATAATATTGTGATAATAACAATGACTATATCATTTAAGCGCATATCTTTGTGAACTTGAAATACCTACCTGTAGTTTACAGTTACCAATTAAATGAAAGGAAAAACATGTACATCTTCATATATATCATTATATTATGTATGTTGTAGAGGGGGAGAAAATGGAAATAAAAGACAAATATTGTGATAATATATATATTTGATAAGGAGTATGTTCACTGCATCACGTCAAGACTCCTGCTAATGGTGGGGCTAACTACGGTCACCTTTTCACGAACATCTGGTACCGCTCTATTTGACAGTGATCCATAAGTCGATGCTCATGACATAGTCGGAATCGTACAATCGAATCGTTCTTCTATTTCCACACTATTCTAATTTATCGTGTTAGAATTAATATTGTTTTCGAAGTTACATTAAACTCCTTCACGATTATTACATGCAAAAATTAACACGATTAAAAAACGAAGATTCCTAATGGGTATGAGAATGGTTTTGGTGCTTTTATTTCCACAACCTAATGTGGTGTGGTGTAGTTGATATTCTTTTCAAAGTTGCATTGAATAAAGTTGTTACATTAAAATTGATACGATTTATAAAATCACCGACCCGTGAAGATCTCGCCTATTTACAGACCGCCCCATACAGCTGGAATATTGCTGAGTGCAGCGTTAAACAATAAATAAACAAACAAACAAACTTACCAAACACATAGACCTCGGGACTCTGGTCAATGACAGCACACGACGGGAGGTCAGTCGCCCAGGTGCCGCCGCTGCCGCTACAGAGGATGACTTTGGAGCCGCTCATGACGAAGCCGGTGAGGCAGCCATACTCCGCCGTCGATGACGTTATCCTTACAATCTCCCCGTTGAGGAGGGCGGGAGGGTAGCCGCATGGTGAGATAGTAGTTGTTGGTGTTGTCGTTGGTGTAGTTGCCATCGTAGTAGACTCACACGGTCGGGTAGGACGGCTGGAAGGATGTCGGAGGTGTTCTGGTTTTGAAGAACGCGGGCCCCACAGAAGCCGGATCACACTGTAGAAATGACAGCACGTCAACGTCTGAGTGAATATAGCGTGAAATGACGTTCTCCAACACATACACCAAGTTGGCACTCCGTAATTAGTTACAAATATTAAAGCAGTATTTTACTCACCTGGATAATAAAGTAAATAGATCGTGTTCAATTACATTATACTAAGTAGAGCATCTAACGCTGGGCAGTTAGAAAACAGAGACAAAAACTGACACAACACAAAAGGATGTCCACTTTTAATATACAATCATGTGTAACGAGGGAACACGGTCATGACCCAAAGTGAGAAAAATAAGGCCATGAATATATTGTTTTCGTTTACAATGCATCACTATTATCTGTAGTAAACAATGATGCTGTTCTCCAATATGAATACGTTATGTGTAGACCTTTTGTGAATAAAGACATTTTATGAATACATTTTGTGTAGACCTATCGTCCGTCATATCATTACGCCGTAAGCTTGTCCGTCAGTGTCATGGGGACATGAGGCATGGGGACTCAGAGGACAATAAAACTTGCATTTACATTATCATAATCAGCTGGCAACACAATAAGTACCTATTCTTTAACAACACATTACCTGCTATACACATCGGGATAGCATTACATAAAGGTATAAAAGCATGAAAAAACAGGAACACAGGTGATGTTTGACAAGTAACTGTCATTGCGTTTTTCCCCGTGCGAAATTTGCATTTTGCATATTTCTTTTATTGCATTTAATGGCATATTTTTAGTTTACTCATGGGCCTTTTACTAGCCTTACATGGCATGGTGATGTACACTTACTAATTTACATTTCTTTTCTTGTACATTGCAGTTTTTAGAAAGTATTACAAAAAAAGAATATTAGAAATATATTACTTCAGAATATTACACCATATTCGTCACGAAAGAAATACAATATATTTTGTTCATGTTTCTATTTCAATCATTTTTCAAAGGCACAAATGGTACTATTGTTTTTTTAATTTTTAATTTTAGTTGAAAATCAAAATACCAGTACACAGATTCACATAATATTGCAATTTCTATTTATACACCCTCGTTTGATAATGGAATATCTGAATAAACAAGAACTGGCGTCACGATGGTGATGTACTTGATGTGCTATAAGGCTGAAGTGTACATTGTTTCAGTCAAGATACGTTTTGTTGTCAAATCAATATTTTAAAGACATGACGATTTGGATTGTAAATACTAAATCTGAACAATGGACAAAATATATTACGTCAAAACTATACAGTCTTTACTGAAACAGTTAGAGAGTGACAGAAATACAATAGTAAGCATAAATTAAACAAAACAAAAAGAGAAAATATTATACGGTTTAAACAGTTTACCACATTTGTTGATGCAGAAAAAAATATACTATCTTGATTGCAATGTCGTCTTGCCTCTATACTGAGTATGTTTGTGTGTGGACCAGGTTTCGAAAGATGGTATGTCCACTAAACGACATGTTGACTACATTAAAATATATCCAGTAATATATCCATAAATCCAGTACCAGTGCTACTGTAGTCTTTATATATCTGTATGCAGGCAAATTTAAGAATGGACAGTCAAAAGATGAATGTGAATTATGACGGGTGCTGAATTAATATACGTGTGTGTTTCTTTGGTTTTTGCGTGCGTGTGTGTGTGTGTGTGTGTGTGTGTGTGCATGTGTGTGTGTGTGTGTGTGTGCTTCGGTGTGTCTTTGGAATGTACATATAGGTACAAAACATAAGTTGTTTCGAGCGGGAAAAGGGCTCATTGAACCCCTCAAGTTCATTACAATATCGTGGGCGGTGGGGTACAATGTGTTCATCTCAGTTGATGCGAAGTGAGTACATGAGTTATGTCTGGCGTCGGTTTCAGCAACTACCCGGCCAAAACATCGAGACTACAATAATGAGCTTCACACATTAAACCCAGGCCACAGGTGTGACGATCTAACGCTTGAACCACTGAGCAAAACAGCCGCCCTTCGCAAGAAACGAAACAGAGTCAAAACCAATAATCATGGATTTCAGACCAAAATTCCTTTTTACTTTATTTGTCTGTGAACATGTAAACAAACGATTGAGTCGAAATGAATTTCAATGATTTATAGCATATACAACATAACATATTTATTTCATGACATGAGACAAACACGTCACAGTTGCAATAATTAACCTTTTTCACACTCCTATATAACCCTATAGATCTATACACAACGTATTAACACACGCGTCAGAAGTGTTGTAAACTTGTATGTTTCAGAGAGAGACCACGTCATTGATTGGCACGTGTTGATTGCTAAACAGCTGATTGCTGTCAATGCCCAGCGGATATGGAGAACGTTGGCAGTGGGTTTGGTTGGGAAATAAATGTAATTTGTATTCAAGGAGTCCCTGATGTGATAGCTAGGTCAACTGGAAGTTTGTTTGGGTCAATGTCTCCTGGAGACACGTGATAACAACCAGTGTATCAGTAGTCTCTGTGTTTTTGTGGTGTGATGAGTTCGGCAGTATAATGGATAGAACATGTACTATTAAATTTACATTTGCGTACATGGTTTATGGAACCGCCCAAGGTAAACATCGAAAATGAAACTAAAATAAATTTAGAAAAACAAATACTTCTTGCATAATACAATTACATTTTTTTTTATACTATTGAAACATTGTTTATTTATTTAAATGGACCCAAACAAGACCAATATGTTTTATATTTTTCACACCTACTAACCAAATAAAAGTTTAGATGATTTAGACATCCTGTTTGATACAACCAAGTTTTCAACAATTTCATTATCAAAATCTGTAGACCAAAACACAATAGCCATTAAACTTTAAACATTTTCAAAGTGTTCAGTACAGTAAGGGTTTCAAATTACATACATTAGCGAGATGGAAGGAATTTTATGATCAGTAACTGTATATAGTTATCATGAAGTTTATATTGGAAGTGTTACAGCAGTGTCCTCCCCCCACGTGTTCTGGTTTAGTGTTGGGCTTGTCAGTCTCAGAACGTCACCTCAAATTTAGGGTGACGTTGTCCATTGCGGAATGTGCGTGCTAAACATTTTGTTGTGTGTCCCGTGTATATTTTGAAGTGTTTCTTCCCACCCGGCTATATTGTAAGTGTCGAAGTTTCTTCCCACCCGGCTATATTGTAAGTGTTGAAGTTTCTTCCCACCCGGCTATATTGTAAGTGTTGAAGTTTCTTCCCCACCCGGCTATAGTCCCACCAGGCTATATTGTAAGTGTTGAAGTTTCTTCCCACCCGGCTATATTGTAAGTGTCGAAGTTTCTTCCCACCAGGCTATATTGTAAGTGTTGAAGTTTCTTCCCACCAGGCTATATTGTAAGTGTCGAAGTTTCTTCCCACCAGGCTATATTGTAAGTGTCGAAGTTTCTTCCCACCCGGCTATATTGTAAGTGTCGAAGTTTCTTCCCACCAGGCTATATTGTAAGGCAGGCTATATTGTAAGTGTCGAAGTCGAAGTTTCTTCCCACCAGGCTATATTGTAAGTGTCGAAGTTTCTTCCCACCAGGCTATATTGTAAGTGTTGAAGTTTCTTCCCAGGCTATATTGTAAGTGTCGAAGTTTCTTCCCACCAGGCTATATTGCTATATTGTAAGTGTTGAAGTTTCTTCCCACCAGGCTATATTGTGAAGTGTTGTAAAGTTTCTTCCCACCAGGCTATATTGTAAGTGTTGAAGTTTCTTCCCACCAGGCTATATTGTAAGTGTTGAAGTTTCTTCCCTATATTGTAAGTGTTGAACCACCAGGGCTATATTGTAAGTGTGTTGAAGTTTCTTCCCACCAGGCTATATTGTAAGTGTTGAAGTTTCTTCCCACCAGGCTATATTGTAAGTGTTGAAGTTTCTTCCCACCAGGCTATATTGTAAGTGTCGAAGTTTCTTCCCACCAGGCTATATTGTAAGTGTCGAAGTTTCTTCCCACCAGGCTATATTGTAAGTGTGTCGAAGTTTCTTCCCCAGGCTATATTGTAAGTGTTGAAGTTTCTTCCCACCAGGCTATGAAGTTTCTTTCTTCCCACCAGGCTATATTGTAAGTGTTTCTTCCCACCAGGAAGTTTCTTCCCACCAGGCTATATTGTTGTTGAAGTACCAGGCTATATTGTAAGTGTTGAAGTTTCTTCCCACCAGGCTATATTGTAAGTGTCGAAGTTTCTTCCCACCAGGCTATATTGTAAGTGTTGAAGTTTCTTCCCACCAGGCTATATTGTAAGTGTTGAAGTTTCTTCCCACCAGGCTATATTGTAAGTGTTGAAGTTTCTTCCCACCAGGCTATATTGTAAGTAAGTGTTGAAGTTTCTTCCCACCCAGGCTATATTGTAAGTGTCGAAGTTTCTTGCTATAAGTTTTCTTCCCTCCCGGCTATATTGTAAGTGTTGAAGTTTCTTCCCACCAGGCTATATTGTGTGTTGGAAGTTTCTTCCCACCAGGCTATATTGTAAGTGTTGAAGTGTAAGTGTTGGAAGTTTCTTCCCACCAGGCTATATTGTAAGTGTTGAAGTTTCTTCCCACCAGGCTATATTGTAAGTGTCGAAGTTTCTTCCCACCAGGCTATATTGTAAGTGTTGAAGTTTCTTCCCACCCGGCTATATTGTAAGTGTTGAAGTTTCTTCCCACCCGGCTATATTGTAAGTGTTGAAGTTTCTTCCCACCAGGCTATATTGTAAGTGTTGAAGTTTCTTCCCACCCGGCTATATTGTAAGTGTTGAAGTTTCTTCCCACCAGGCTATATTGTAAGTGTTGAAGTTTCTTCCCACCCGGCTATATTGTAAGTGTCGAAGTTTCTTCCCACCCGGCTATATTGTAAGTGTTGAAGTTTCTTCCCACCAGGCTATATTGTAAGTGTCGAAGTTTCTTCCCACCCGGCTATATTGTAAGTGTTGAAGTTTCCTAGTGCCTTGTTTATAGTCAACGTGTCACGATTCTCCGGGCGAATGTTTAACGTGTCGTAGTTTCTTAAAACCATGAGTATATTTAAAGTT